ACGCCACACGCAACACGTAGCGCACTGATACGGAGCCCAACACGCATCCTGAAAACGTGGGTCTGACGCGAGACTTTCGCCAAAACGTGGGCCGATACGTTGAGCCAACACGCAACGTATTGGCACGGACGTTTTGAGCACGGCACGTGTTGCGTATCAAAACGTGCGTATCGAGGCAGTTAAGTCCACGCACCATGCTTGGATCACCACGGTGATTGCTAAACGAGTAGGGGTGTATAAGTGGATACCAAGGTGGCTCACATCAGGCCTGACCTAGCTCAGAAGTGATCTACAAGTGCTCTGCGCGGCCTGGGTGGGTTCCACAACTCTCCGCCAAGTGGGCGGAGCCCCCCAGCCCGGATACTTACCCCGGCCAGGCCACTTAGGGCACCTGTAACCTACTCATCAGCTAGGTTTGGCCATCTATAGACCACCTTGGTATCCGCTTGTAAGCCCGCATCCACTTTGCAACCACCGCGGTGATTCAGGTAATCCGTGCGTCCGCTTCCTCGCGACGGTCACGACCCGGCGGCACGCCAAGGGGGGAAATCGAAATGCGAGGGGGGGAACGCCTTCTCCGAGGGCGGCGGGGCTTCAAAGGAAGCCCTTCGGCCCGCCGAGAAGCCACGCGTGGCTTCGGAGAAGGCTTAAGTCGGGCATGTCCTCCTACAGACGGCTTTTGGACGGAAAATAAGAAATACTCAAAACTGCCCAACAAATACTCAGAAATACTAAAAAAATAGTCCCCCGACGATGTAACTGCTTTTGAACACTCCCCCTGTAGAGGGACAGGCCCGACTTCAGAGAAGGCTCAGAACGCCCCTTCGGAAGGCCAGGCGCCCTGAAAGGCCCGCCCCCTCTGCGCCCCCAGCGGCTCCTGGGCTATAGCTCGGGCCTCCGGCGGCCGCCTGGGACGATCCGCCCACCCTCAGAGCGCCGCCGACGAAGCGCCACTGCTGAAGAGCAGTCCGCGGCCAGACAACCCCCCGGGAGACGACGAGAACGACGACGACGATCACGACCACGATCACAACGACGACTACGTCGTCGACGACGGTCACGAGGTCGATATCGTCAACGACGATCACCATCGTCGTCGTCGACGACGACAACATCGACGACGCGACGACGACGACGACGACGACGTCGTCGATGACGACGACGACGACGTCGTCGATGACGACGGCGACGGCGACGACGACGGCGACGGCGATGACGACGGCGACGACGACGGCGACGGCGACGACGACGACGACGACGAGCCCCTCGCTGCGGGCCTTCGAGCGGGGCGCGGCGGCGGCGCTCTCCCCGGGCGCGCCCCGCCCCGCCCCAGGGGGACTGGGGGGCGCGCGGGGGGGGCCGCGGGCGCCGGGGCCCCCCTCCCCCCCCACCTGGGCCCTGGAGGAGGAGGGAGGAGGAGTGAGGAGTGAGGAGTGAGGAGGAGGAGGAGGAGGAGAAGGAGGAGGAGGAGGAGGAGGAGGAGGAGCAGCAGGAGGAGGAGGGAGGAGGAGGAGGAGGAGTGAGGAGGAGGGAACAACATCCACAGAAGAGTCCCCAAACTAATTATGTGTGGACTAGTTATGAATATTCCTCCTCCAGAGGGACAGGCCCGACTTGACCCTAACGCTGCCCCCCACAGGTTCGAACAACATACCCCCCAAATGTTCGAACAACATTCAAAGAATAGTCCCCAGACTCTTTTTGACTATTCTTGAATATTCCTCCTCCAGAGGGACAGGCCCGACTTGACCCTAACGCTGGCCCCCCACATGTTCGAACAACATACCCCCCAAATGTTCGATTAACATTCAAAGAATGGTCCCTAGACTATGTGTGGACTATTTTTGAATATTCCTCCTCCAGAGGGACAGGCCCGACTTGACCCTAACGCTGCCCCCCACAGGTTCGAACAACATACCCCCCAAATGTTCGAACAATATTCAAAGAATAGCCCCACGACTATTTTTTGACTATTTTTGAATATTCCTCCTCCAAAGCGACAGGCCAGACTTGACCCTAACGCTGCCCCCCAAATGTTCGAACAACATACCCCCCAAATGTTCGAACAGCATTCAAAGAATAGTCCCCAGACTATTCTTGAGCTATTCTTGAATATTCCTCCTCCAGAGGGACAGGCCCGATTTGACCCTAACGCTGCCCCCCAAATGTTCGAACAACATACCTCCCAAATGTTCGAACAACGCTCATTGAATATATTATTTGCCTGTTGTTCGAACATTTGAGTCCCCAGACTATAGTCTAGGGACTATAGTCTGGGGACTACTACAGTCCCCGGACTACTTTCCAATCTTCCTCCTCCAGAGGGACAGGCCCGACTCGACCCTAACGCTGCCCCCCGAAGGAGGCGGGCTGGCAGGACGCACGGGCGCCGGCGGGGGGAGCGCGCACCGGCGGCGAGAGCTCCAGGGGGCTGAGGCTGCGGCTGCGGCTGCCTCCGCGGCGCGGGGCGCGCCTCGCTTGCCTGCGACGCCCCCCAGGC